AAAAATTCCAAAAATTATAGATTCGGCTTCTATATCGATAGCAATGTCTATTTCAATAAGATTTTACAAAAAATATTTAATGTACAGATTCGACTTAGTTAGAATTTTGTTATATATATTTATTATATCTTTATATATATAGATTATATCTTTACATATAATTCAATCCACATATTATTATAATAGCTTTATTTTGCTTATCGAGATTGTAAAAAACTATAGTAACTTATACAGCTTAGTACACAAAAACCACAGATTGGATTTTGATGAAACTTTACAATAATATAGTTCATACATCAGAATAACAAATAGGTATTTCAACGATTATTACTACTTATTACTCGATACACAACATTATGCATAGTTATTATATAAAGACAATACTAATATTGGAAGTCGTCTCTCCTCGAGTTATTTTTTAAAAGGCTTATCTAATAAATAATAATATCTCCCGACTAATATTCCTAACAACTGAACTATTCCTAACATTATATTTACACAGAAAATAGGTAAAATTAAAAAGTTTACTGAGTGAGTTTAAAATTTCAATTTGGAAATATACTATGGAAAACTCGGTATAACAAATTGGCTAAGCATAATATTTTTATTTTTGAACTTTGAACGTCAAAGTTCAAAAATAAAAATATTATGCTTAGCCAATTTGTTATACCGATTTTGCAATGAAAAGTTCAATTAATATCAATCTAGCGATCGATACATTTAAGCGTGATAACATTTCTCTATACGTTATACCTTTAATGTAGACGTAGGAAATATTTTTAAAACAAAATTAACATCATTATTGTACTTCATTGCTGCGTAATAGAAAAACAAACGAAAAAAGAAACAAACAAACAAACAAAGAAACAAACAAACATACGAACGAACATTTTTGTATTTCTTATATTAATAGAGATCTTTAATAAGAAACTTGTTTTTTTTTTAATTATTTAAATAAAAGTTTATTAACAACTTATGTCAAAATTAAAAAGTCAGTCGCGTGAGTGAAGCTATTTATAAAGCTAATGTCTTTGTTTCTTGGCACTTTGTTTATTTTACAAAGTGAATGACCTGTTTTGTGATTTAAGCGTAACGACGTACTTCCTCATTGCCGATAAGACAGTAATGCCCGTGATGTCAATTGCTATTAGATTAAAGAAATATTAATCATATCTTAATAGGCGAAGAGCTTATGTATCTATATATGTATATAAAAATCAATTACCGTTCGTTAGTCTCGCTAAAATTCAAAAACGGCTGAGTCTGTTTGAATAATGCTTTTGTTTTGTTTGGAGTGTGTCAGGGGTGGTATAAGCATAAAAAAGGGAAATCCCAAAAACAGCTGGAAATCGAAGAGTTCAGAACTGTTTATTTTGTACCTACGTATATATAATATATATTCTATCTATTCCATACTAACCATTAAAACGTACCTAGGATGAAACCGAGCGGAGTGAGGGGTAGCCGCTAGTGAAAAATAAAAATTAAATAGCAAATGCGAGTCTGGCTTAAACATAAAGGGTTCCGTAGCTAGAAACATTTTTGTTAGTATTTAATTATTTATGTATGTCTATGTAGTTTTAGAATAATTTATTACATTAAAAGAGAAATAAAATATTTACCCATCTTACAGTATTTGTATGGTTAACAAACTTATTTTGCGGATGAACGCGTAAAACGGAAATTATATCTTATAAACTACTCAACTGTTTTCTTCAAAATAACGCGATTGAATCTTGAAAATATTTTAAGAGTTGTAGTATCAGTAGTTGTAGTATATAATAAAATATTTTAGAATTTGTCACTCATACTTCAAAAACTAGAGGTGACCTCTATTTTTGTATCTCTTGTAATATGACTACGGAATTGTCAGCAGTTTGCGTGACCTATTTATGAAATTCCAGTATGATCTCCATTAATCTTTTAATGAAATGGCTGTGACATACGGACAGACGGACGCATTATGCATATGAGAAGTCATATAGACAATTTACCTACCTTTTAACAAGTAGGAGTAGCTTTAGTATAAAATGCGATATTTTAGTTCATTGTGATTTTTTCATTCCTATTTCTATAAAATGGTGGTCCCAAAAAAATTTCACAGAAAAATGTTTGATGCATGCTTGATGAATACTTTTAAAATTGTAAATGTACCTTATTTTATTAAAAACTAAAGAAATACAACCAGTAAACAAATCTAAAAATTTCCTTTTGAATTACCTTTAAAAAAAAACTAAATTTAACTAAAAGTTAAGTTAATTGATCAAGATTTTTTAAACAAAGTTTAATTTACAAAGAAATTACTTACCATTTACAACCTTTGTTCTTGATTTGTATTACTTATTGCGCTTTGTGTCATTGAATATTTAATATACACTGAAGTAGTAACAAAAAATATAATACTCGTATTATAAGCTCTTAATAATGCTTTTACCCAATATTTAGACAATAGCACAAATTATAACACATTACATTATTCGACAATTGGATAGTCCCCATACTAATTTTATTTATGCAAAGTTGTTTAGTATCATTTGAGATTCCCACGAGATAAAAAGCAGAATTTGTATAAAAAAATTTCGGGAGTGCTAATGCAAAATTAATGAATTATTATCAAGTTTCTATTAGGTATAGACTATATCTGTCTATCTATCTATATATATTAATTTGAATGTTCTTATGTGTTCCTACGCCGTTGATCTGATTGTGATGAAACTCTGGTGGGTTATTCTGTATACGCCTGTGAAGGTTCCTAGCGCAAAAAATGAATTTTCCTTTGTCTTGTATGCATTCCTTAACCATTTACGCTTAGGGACGCGCCCAAGCGAATCAAGTGTAAGTCGTAAGCTTTAAATAAAAGTATATCTATACATATAATAAAATTCTGAGTCGAATCTGTATATTAAATATTTTTTGGAAATTCTTATTGAAATAGACATTAATCCCTCCACGACCGAAATAATGAATTTCTTAGAAATTTAATTAATTTCTTAGAAATTTACCTGGAAATTTATTATCGATGCAGAGGCCTAATTTATAGTTTTTTAGAATTTTTGCCTGTCTGTCTGTCTGGAAACGCATCACGAGAAAACGACTGAACGAATTTTGATGAAAGGTATGGTGATAGCTGGTTGTCCGGGTCAACATTTAGGATACTTTTTAGTGCGGAAAAATATTTCATCTCTAAATCTAAATCGAGACGAACTCAAGAGGAGCGAGGGTGCGTCGCTAGTTAACTACATAAATAAAAGCGTTTAAGTTATTTGCAATATCTTTGAACCGGAAAAAATAGGAAGTGTTTCCACGTGATAACGGATAGAACCTTTAGTACGTAGAGAGAGTACCTTGTATAAAGTCACAATCACAAGGTTAGATTACTTTTGAGGTAAGATTTAACGTCATTGACCTCTAAAAAGCATCTGTCGGATTGTTTCAAGGTTAAAGAAAGTAGAAAACGGAAATGAATTTATATTTGCTTAATAGATTATATTTTAAGCCTAAAGATGATAAAAGATATAAATTTTAAGCTGAATAACCTACCTGTCACTTTTCCTTGTTCTTATCTGTAAACTTTAGACTGACATTTTACAATTCCTAACAAGCAGTATTCTATGGAAATGATAATTATTATGTGTAAAAATAAAGCAATCATCATAATATTATGTCACATTTTATTAATTTAATTAATTAACATTGATATTTCCCATTTCAATACGATTTTAAAATTTTTAGGACCTTATACACTTTTAAGGTTCCGTAGGCAAAACTTAAACCGGGAACTCTTACAATTTTGTCATGTCCGTTTATCCGTCTGTCAGTATGTCACAACTATTTTACTCGGAAACTAATAGAGCTATATCGCTTTATATTTTGGTAGATAGGTGTCAACGCTGTACGATTCGTAGTCAAATGAAACATTATGTAGTCAAAATAAAACACAAAAAAGGTCCTTAAAAGGTGTATATAAATAGTGATTTAAAATTGAAATTAATGTTTCTAAACATCATTTTTGCCGAAAATCAAGTTAGTTTCTCATAGAAATCCATATCCATACTAATATCATATATGTGAAAGTGTGTTTGTTTGTCCTTATTTCACGTGGAAACGGAATGTTTTGTGTGGAAATAGTTGGAGGGCTGAAGTGTGACATAAGCTACTTTTTACGCCAGGAGATTATCTCATTTCTACGGGAAAGCACGTCATAATACAACTCAAAAAATATTTTTGATCAAAATTACTAACAATTTAATATTTTATGCTACGGGGTACTCGGTGTGCGAGTCTAATTAGCACTTGCCGATTTTTTTAGATATTTGTGTGTCAACAATAATTATAGTAAGTCATCTTGTTCAGATCCCGTGTTTTTCCATAACCATATTATGTTTACTATGTCCTACCGTGACCTACAAAATGTATTTCTCAGGTTTCTTATTGTTGTATAAGCAATATAGATAGATAGATAAATTCTTTCTTGCACACACAGAAGAAGAGTACAGAAGATAATAAAAACTTTTTAACAAAAAAATAAAAACCGACTTCAAACAAAAGCACTAAAAAGTAAAATAACTGAAAAAAAAAAAAAAAAAAAATACAGTCGAATTGAGAACCTCCTCCAAAATAAAAGATAAATAACAAATAGGCATGCAAACGCGGTCTTATTGCTACGAGCAATCTCTTACAGACAACCTTTGGTAAAAGGATTAGAAGAATCGAAGACGGGACGGTACAATTAACACTAAATACAGACATGATGAACTACGTTTACAAGCATGAATACATACATAAGACAACAATATATACATACATGTATAATATATACGTACACAGATACATAAATACATACATGCATTATATTTGTTATTTTTGTAAATTGTAAGCGAATTTTCAATAATAGGTTAAATAAGAGTATTCTCATAAAAAATCATGAAAAAACAGCAATCAGAAGAGTGGAATGATTTTATTTTTGAGTTCATTTTAAAGTTAATGTATTTTTTTTACAGGAACAATTACTATGTCATCGAAATACCGGACGACGTGCCAGTCAACGACAAGAAGCCGTTCAAAGTTTATTGGAATGTACCAACGATACAGTGTCAATCAAAAAAGATACCCTTCAATGATTTATATGAAAAATATGGTATAATTCAGAATGAAGGAGATGAATTTCGAGGAAAAGAAATAACGATTTTGTACGAACCTGGTTTATTTCCTGCGATATTTAAGAATGAGACCAGTGGGAAGTATAGGTTTCGGAACGGTGGAGTTCCACAGGAGGGCAGTATGGAAGAACATTTGAAAGTATTTAAAAAGGATATGGAAGAGATTGTTCCTGATCCAAATTTTAGTGGTAAGATTTATAGCAGATCTATCCCACGGGAACCGTACATTTTTAAGATAAAAAGTAGCCTATGTGCTATTCAGATGTATGAGCTATATTATTGTAGTTTCATCAAAATCCATTCACTAGTTTTTGCGTGAAAGAGTAACAAACATCCATATATTTATACGTAGAGACATTCATACATCGTCACAAACTTTCGCATTTATAATATTAGTAGGATTAAATAAGAATATTTTTTTTTTCGTGTAATGTCAATGTAAATATGCTTTCAGTTTTTAAATATATTCCTCTCTCTACAAAACTCTACATATTTTCTGGTCGGACAGCTAGCAAACAGTATTACAATCCTTAAAAGCAAATAAAATTTTGTCGAATTTGATTATATTTTTATATAAATACTAGAGGATTACCCTTACTTCGTGCAGGTGTAAAGGACACATATATAATTATATTATATACATAATCCCTTTTAAATTATGTACATATAATCTAATCCATATGAATTCAGATTTTGATTATTTCAAAAATAAAGATGCAGTGTCAGGAAAATTTGCAGATCTATCCGCAACTGATCAAAATTTCATCGCTGTTCATTTGAATATGAATATTTAATAGCTTAGAAATACTTGTTATAGCTTACATTGTGTTAAAAAAAGTACACCGATTTTGAATTAAACTACCACTTAAAAGTCGTTCTTCCAACTTTCAAAGGTATTTTTCTGGAAGTATATATTATCGGAATTTAATGTAAATAGTGGTCTATTTACATTCACAAAAATATTAAGATTTATATTAGGCTTAGAATATCGTGTCATAAACCATACATCCACATTAGGTAGGTAGGTACATCTTTTTTAAGTCAGTAAATATTCAAGCGATTTGCAATAAAGCATAACAAATTATAAAGGAAAGATTAATACAAAAAATAAGAGGATAATTCTTAGAATCGGACAGTTGAATATCTCATATTGTTGTAACCATTTTGTTTGTTTATGATTAGATTCATTGCCTGCATATCTTCTAATAATGTATATCTAAACACTAATTTATTGAAGGCAGTGGTGTATTTACGTGGTGAATTTATGTTTTGTTATTTAGATTATCTTCTAGGGAAGAGAAGGTTTAAATTATTCTCTAAAGAAGCTATAACTGAATATTAATAATCGCCAAATGAAAAAAAATGTAAAAAAATAATAATATTGAAATAACCTTTCTAAACCACTTATGAACCAAATTTTTCATCATTCATTTGAATCTGTTCACCAATAGTGATAATGTTTATTTAAAACAAATTTAAAAATGAAGAGGTACCTACTTAATTGTACGAGTAATTAATTGTACGAGTATGTACGAGTATAGTGAGCGTTGTTTTGAGAATTGATTTTTAAGCATGTTGTGTTTACCTTTAAATAGATTTACAATTACTAACCTATATTACACTTATATATGTATGTAAGTCATAAATGTATATAATTGTAAAACTCCTGGCAGACCTTTATACGGAAAAAATAAAATAAATAAATAAATGAATAATAATATTTTGTAACGGGATCTTGAAGCTTGTGTAAATTTAATTAAAAAAATTAGGTATTAGGTAGAGTAAAAAAAATTTTTAAATTTCAGGTTTAGGCATAATCGACTTTGAGTCTTGGCGTCCGATTTTTCGGCAGAATTTCGGCACACTGGTACCGTATAAGGACGTATCCATTGAAATTGAAAAGAAGTTACATTGGTGGTGGCCTAAAACTTGGATACAGAATGAGGTATGAAATATGCACTTATATAATACTAGACAGGGGTAGCCCAGTGGTAACGTGGTATCTTGGGAAACCAAGTGAAACAGGTTCAAATCCCATGTGCAAAAATATCTATTATCATAAGTCTCATTGAATTTTTTGGCAGTTCTTCTGAGACTTTAACTCAGTCAATATTTTACAAATATAATTTGAATACGATGAGAAATGGGTGTTTAATAGAACAGCAATCGTTACAAAATTTTACGACCTGATTTCAATTTCATATAAATTTAAGCAATTACGAGTATTGTTGCTTTACTTACGCGGTTGAGCGGATCATTCGTTTTTAAAGAACCAATTTATGCACGTGGGTTCTATTCAATTAGATACATTAGAATAGCTCTTTATATTATTATATTATATCTATTTATAGAATACTAGCATTGCCCGCGGCTCCGCCCGCGTTCAGATGACCAAAAACTAAATTCTTAGGTGTTACATATTAGTATACTCTTACATTGCAGTTTTTGTATTTTTCCTCAGAAATAAGATATTTTCCCGCGGTAAAAAGTATCCTAGGATCGCGCGCTACATCGCCCGGTTTATATAGCTTGAGCAGGCGGTCGAGCGATGCGGGGCAGAGGGGATGGACTCGCCGTAGGCATCTCAATGCTCGCCAAGCATTAAAAATGTTTCGCTACTAATTACTTCTAACAACGATATCTCAAAAACTATTCATCTGATTGATTTAGTGTAAAGAGCAATTTTAATCTGCATTAAATGACTAAGCTAACTAAAATATTCATTTGGATAAGGATTAATACCGAACTAAAGAAATAACTTTGAAAATAACGTAATGTTTTTAATTAAAAATGTTAACATAAAAGTGGTTATTGTAAGTCAACCGTAAGAGATAGAGATATGCTATCGCGGACTTTTTTGTAGCATTTTTATAGATTTTGAATTCTCTAGTACATTACTTAACTGTATCTTTGCTAGTTTACGCGGCGTTCGCGTGGAAAGTTCCCATTTGGCGAGATTTTTTGCGACCTCTTCAACATTTGTCGCCGTATTTCAGCTAATTTACATAAAAGCATAATAAATTATATACCTAAACCTTCCTCAAGAATTACTCTTTCTATTGTTGAAAACCGTATAAAAATCCGTTCAGTAGTTTTCGAGTTTATCGCGTTCAGACAGACAGGAGGACAGACAGGAGGACAGACAGGAGGACAGACAGGAGGACAGAAAGACGCGGCCGGGGGACTTATTTTTATAATAAGTATAGATTGATATTTATGTATTAGCGACTCACTTTCGCTCCGCTCGGGTTGGTCCCTAGTTCCGCTTAGTATAGATTTCTCAGAGATACGATATTTTCCCGCATTAAAAAGTATCTTATATCCGGATAGCCAGCTATAATCATACTAAATTTCATTAAAATCTGTCCAGTGGTTTTCTCGTGATGCGTCCTCAGACAGACACGTTAGTCGGAACAAGATAGATAAAAAGTTTTTTTCGAAAACTTACTAGGTTCTCTCAGATATATAGGTTTCTTCACTATATTTTCACTATATTTCTTCACTATATTTTATTATTGTAATCATGTTAAAAAATATGATTCGTACATGAAAATATTAGTGGTGCGAGACCCGCAATATTAACCTGCTTCTCTTGAATACCTAAGCGAGCGCATCACTACTAGGGTACCACTACCACCTTTTATATTTATAATATTACTAGCGACTCACCGTCACGTCGCTCCGCTCAGGTTCGTCCCTATTTACGTTATAGATTTCTCAGAGGTGAGATATTTTTCCGCAATAAATGTAATATGTATATGTATGTATATAATCGTAGTTCTGGTATTTATTTATTCTATCTAATGTTTATGTATTATTTTATGTTTATAATACATATTTGTATTTATGTATTTATGCTTATATATTATATTTAGAAATATAGTGTGTATATATATTTGTATGTTTATATATTGTATTTATGTTGTTTTACATATTATGCTTATTCTTATTTATTTTCTTATCGTTTCTTTGCACTTTCTCTTTCTGTCCCACTACTTAACACTATTTCCCACATACATGGGTTGACTGGAAGAGATCTCTTATAGAGATAAGTCCACCTTTGTCCACATAATTTTCTATGTATATATTTTTTTATTACTTTTTTAGTACAATAAAGAATATTATATATAAAGTATCCTGAATGTTGACCCGGATAACCCAGATATCATCATACGAAATTTCATCAATATCTATCCAGTGGTTTTCCCGTGATGCGGTAACAGACAGAAAGACGGACAAAAATTCTAACAACTATAGATTCGTCCTCTGTATCGATAATAAAGTCTAAGTCAGAGTGTATTAAGTCAATAAGATTCTTCAAAAAATATTTAATGTACAGATTCGGCTTAGTAACAATTATATTATTATATACCATTACCAGCTATACCAAATTTTATCAAAATCCCTCCAGTGGTTTTTCCGTGATGCGGTAACAGACAGACAGACAAAAATTTTAAAAACTGTATATTCAGCCTCTGTATCGATAATAATGTCTATTTCAATGAGATTTTCCAAAAAATATTTAATGTACAGATTCGGCTTAATTACAATTTTATTATATGTATATACAATTTTATTATATGTATATACAATTTTATTATATATATAAACTATAATTTATACCATAAATTGTCTGAAGGCAAACATATGACTTCTTATTTCTAACTATGAGTACTACATATTATAGTGGTTATGCGTATGTATGTAATGGTGACCTATATTTCAAACAAAGCATGTAATATCAAATCTGGTCGAGTAATTATGCAAGCGGTAATTCGGACGGCAATTTATAAACGGCTAGTTTAATTGAAATGCATTATTGTGTAAAGTAAACACTGTTGTTGTATATTATAAGAAAGTATTTAAATACTAATATTATTACAGCAAAATGCCGCAATGGTCTAGTGACTCACTAGTATAGCTGTAGCTTATAAGATCCTAGGTTCAATTACTCGACTCGGCTAAAAGAGTTATAGGGCTAAGGTAATTTTAGGAAAAAATAGATTTGTTTCAAAGAAGTTTAATTCCGCGGCTTCGCTCGCGGTAATATTACAAATAAAATTTTCTAAAATGGTGAGTTTCATACAAACTTTCATCCCCTATTTTACCCTCTTATGGGATGAATTTCTAAATATGCTAAAACAAGTATTTATTTAATAGTATTAAAAAGCATTTATATTTAATACCAACTTTCATATTATATAATAAGTAATTATGATTATAAATGATTTTTTGGGTTATATTATAACGTGTTTTCCCTTGGAAATGTGATAATCTCTCACGGTATAAAGTAGTCACTATCCAGTCCTCCAACTATCTCCATACAAAAAAATCACGCGAATTCGTCACTCTGTTTCGACGTAAAAGAACGACAAATAAATAAATAAACACACTCTTTCAGATTTTTATCTAATATTAGTAAGTTGGACTACTACTTATTCTCTTGTCGTGGTAGCCTTAGAACCTTTACCAATTGTAAAATTTAGACATATACTTTTGGCACGATTTAAGTGTCTGTTCTGTTGGCTACCTTAAATAAATAAATAAATAAGTATGGATGTTAAATATCCGCGTGAATCTTAGAAAGTATATATAAAAAAAGCTTTTCAATTTGATTATGCTTTTATTCAAAGCTATAATGCTTTACTGGCAAGGTGCTTAGACAAAATGTCACTCTACAATCGTTGAAGAATACTGAAAAATTGTATCAATACAATTTCAAAATCACATATAATTAATTGGTATCTCATAGAACCATAATATGTCATTCTCGTAGACTTTTTTGATTTTTATTCGTCAACGATTGAAAAATGACATCTTTTCTAAGCCCCCAGAGTAGAAGCTCGGATTTTGGAAGTTTGATGAAGATGTCGGTTCTGTTCCTGATTAAATTACTTTAAGTGCTAGAAGGTGTTCTTATATATAAAATCAAATTAAATAATTCTAATATTATGTTACTAGCAACATGAAAAACACTAATAGATCTATCCCACGAGAACCGTTCATTTTTCTGGGATGAAAAGTATCTAAGCTGTTGACCGGGGATATAAGGTAATCACCATGCAAAATTTCATTTAAATCGGTCCAACAGTTTCGGAGATTCACCCGTACAAACAGATACACAGACAGAGAAACAAAAAAAATGAAAAATTTTAATAACTTTTGTTTTGCGGTATATATTGTGAAAGTACATAAAACGTTATAGTCATTGTTTTTAAAAATTATTTCATGTACAGATTTCGCCAAGTTACTGTTTTATTTTATATAGTATAGAATAAATAACGTTTAATAAAACAGTAATAATATCTACCTATACGTAATATATAATCTTTACTATAATAAAACTATAGAGGTCGAATGTCTCTACATAGAAAAATATGCTAAAAACCGAGTCAGGGGGATGTAATAAGAGAAATAGAACAAACAAAAACAAATCTATCAAAATTTCATTTAAATCGGTCTTACAGTTCCGGAGATTAGCCCGTACAAACAGACAAACTAACATACAGGCAAACAGTCAATTTTTTTTAATAACTATTGTTTTGGGGTTTATGTTGTGTACATAATACGTTACAAATAAACGAAAACATCTATCCCACGGGAACCGTACATTTTTCCGGGATAAAAAGTAACCTATTTGTTATTCTGATGTATGACCTATATTATTCTAAAGTTTCATCAAAATCCAATCAGTAGTTTTTGTGTACTAAGCTGTATAAGTTACTATAGTTTTTTGACTGTCCCACGGGAACCCTTTAATTTTCCGGGATTAAAAGTAGCCGATTTATTATTGTCATGTATGAACTATATTATTGTAAAGTTTTATTAAAATCCAATCAGTAGTTTTTGTGTACTGAGCTGCATAAGCTATTATAGTTCTTTAAATATCCCACGGGAGCTGTTTAATTTTCCAGGATAAAAAGAATCTAAGATGTTGCCCGGAGATAAAAGGTACCACCATGCAAAATTTCATTTAAATCCGTCCAATAGATTCGGAGATTAGCCCGTACAAACAGACAAAAAGACAAACAGATACACAGACAAACAGAGAAACAAAAAAATTGAAAAAAATCTGGATTTGTTCTATTTGTCTTCTTACATCCCCCTGACTCGGTTTTTAGCATTTTTTTTCTATGTACAGACATTCGACCTCTACTGTTTTATTATTGTATAGATTTTACATGGTCTTATTACTTCTAAGTTCTAGTTTTATATTTTTATATACGGAATTCCAGGCACAACGTCGTTTTGAAGAAGCCGCTCGAACATTCATGCAGACCACTCTGTCAATCGCAAAACAAATGAGGCCTAAAGCTTTATGGGGCTACTACGGCTTTCCCCATTGCTTTAACATGGCGAGTGTATCAAATATGAATGAAAACTGCCCTAAAAATGTCATCACTGAGAACAATGTGTGAGTATACTAGTCTTGTTTGTGAATTGTGATTATTTTAGTCGATATTTTGAAATTAATTTATTATTAATATTATCTTTATAGTTTTTTTATAACTGTTACTTAAAAAATTAATTGAGCTTCTATCAGTGAAGTCATATCAGTCATTAAATCTAGAATGTATCAAGACATTCTCAATTAAAATAGCAAATTTGATTAGCACCTGTTGAGTTTTTTGCCGGCTCTTCTCAGTGGACCTCTCTTCCGAGCCTGTGGTAGATTTCTCACAGACTTACGTACTGACATTTAATTTAAATTGTAATATAAAATATATAATTGTAATGTAATATAAAAAGTGACAATTCAAAAGTACTTGTAAAAATCTATTTGAATAAAGTATATTTGGATATGATTGGATCTGATTCTTTGGGTGATAAAAACTTTTTAACAAAAAAATAAAAACCCACTTCAAACAAAAGGACTAAAAAGTAAAAAATAACTGATTGGTAGTTTTCATTTACTATTCATACCTAATCAAATATTTTCGAAGTCGGTGTGCTTTGTTTTGTATGGGCTGGCACCGATTTCGAAAATATGTGATTAGGTATGTATTTAATAGGTAGGCTTTAATTACTTAGCCAAAGCACAACGACTTCGAAAATACTTGATTAGGTATGTGTAGTAAATGAAAACTACCAATCAGTTATTTTTTACTTTTTAGTCCTTTTGTTTGAAGTCAGTTTTAATTTTTTTGTTAAAAAGTTTTTATTTTTCCCTATTTAGTGTAGACAGTAGTAGCAAAGTAAGAATTCTAACGTGTTAGGCTTGTCAAATCAAACATTAAAGCCCAAACTCAAAGTATCTACTATTAGCCGTTGAAGAGTTCCACCTATCCACCTTCTGGCCTTACCATCAGATCAGGTCAACAATACAGAACCACTGTACTATCAACGGAAATAGAAACACTTGCAAAGTTTCAAGTCAATCTGACAATTAGAAGTAGGTTAAATTCATCATTAGCAATTTTTTCACCCTTAGGGGTGGTATTTTTTTTGAAACTTAAATTGTACCAATCTGGAAGTATACACTTTTAAACAACACAAAAATTGTCCAAATCGGTTAATAAATGACGGAGTTCTGAGGTAACAAACATAAAAAAAAAACAGTTGAATTGAGAACCTCCTCCTTTTTTAAGTCGGTTGAAAATGAGCTTACTCTCTTGTCACGAGTAGTGATAATAAAACAAGGTGCGACGTTACGTCATGTAAGAACTAATATCATTGTAATATTTCACTCATATTTTTTTATTCATGTAATATTAATACGTCTATTTGTTCGATCGTATGACACAGTCAATTTTCAAAAACCAATTAATAGGTACTCTTTAGATTAAAATTTTAATTTGATTAAAAGTCCAAGACATGTAATCAGAGATCAACATGTGTGAAGCATGAAAAAAAGAGAATATAACTAGTTTGGCCGGCTTACTTATTTTAAAATGTAATGAACACAAAAAACTTTGAGTATGAGCACGGGTCGCTTGTTACTAAAATTAAACTTGTAATATCGTTGTTTTCTCTTTCTTTATTTTTTACTCGACTTCAAAAAAAGAAGGAGGAGACTTTAAAAGAGGCACAGACTCAAATAATACCTGATTATGTTATTGTAAATTAAATATCCTATTTAGTTATTTACAATTTTTTTTATATAATATTTTAGCCGTCTTGAAGTTGGCTTACTTTTTTTTATTTCTATTATTTTCTCAGTTTTTCGAAGTGACTTATTTCAAGGGTACAATTTACTGGAATTTAACTTACAAGAATATGTTATCCCAAAAATAAAAGATGCATTTCATAAAATGTAACTTTTAATAATATTTTTTTTAATATAAACCCTTATCGTTTTCATGATAAATGTAAAATCTATGATCGAATCCGATCAATCTGTGATATGTGAATCAATTTGTGATATATACTTCCTGCGCAAGAGTCAAATTAACATAATTCTACACCTTTTTAAAAATAGCTAATGATGCATTTAACCTACTTCTAATTGTCATATTGACTTGAAACTTTGCAAGTGTTTCTATTTCCGTTGATAGTACAGTGCTTCGCTATTGTTGACCTGATCTGATGGTAAGGCCAGAAGGTGGATAGGTAGAACTCTTCAACGGCTAATAGTAGATACTTTGAGTTTGGGCTTTAATGTTTGATTTGACAAGCCTAACACGTTAGAATTCTTACTTTGCTACTACTGTCTACACTAAAAAGGGAAAAATAAAAACTTTTTAACAAAAAAATAAAAACCGACTTCAAACAAAAGGACTAAAAAGTAAAAAATAACTGATTGGTAGTTTTCATTTACTACACATACCTAATCAAATATTTTCGAAGTCGGTGTGCTTTGGCTAAGTAATTAAAGCCTACCTATTAAATATATACCTAATCACATATTTTCGAAATCGGTGCCAGCCCATACAAAACAAAGCACACCGACTTCGAAAATATTTGATTAGGTATGAATAGTAAATGAAAACTACCAATCAGTTATTTTTTACTTTTTAGTCCTTTTGTTTGAAGTCGGTTTTTATTTTTTGTAAAAAAGTTTTTATTAATCAACGAATTATTACGTATTTTTTTCTTTATTTTAGTTTTACAATGTGCGCGTCTATAGCGAATGATCGATACAAACGTTTACTTCGGAGGAATGGTGTGTGTACGTAGATATAAAGTGAATGTCGATCTTTTTTTTTGTTTTCGCTGGGGAAACCCAATCGGCCGGCAGGGTCCCCATGGACCCGGTCGGCTATCAACGGCCAGGATACTGTGAGACTCGTACTCACTAAAACCAACAGCGGAACTCGTCGTCGCAGTGCAATCATGGGGCGTTGCAGGATCGCTTGCGCACACACTAAAAAGAGAGCGTCGACCTGACTCTTAACAAAATGTTACGGTTTAGGTGCTAAAAATGATTTTCTCAATGAAAATGTCCCAACATATTTATATTTTATTTATTTATAAAATCGATAAAACTAAACCAAACTGTAGCTGTGATTTGCATATGACTAAAACTAATTTTAAGCAATCTCTAAAAGATACAGTACTAAGGCGAGAGACGAATTAATCACTATAGATGAATACAGTTTTAAAATAATAATCATTATATTTCAGAACCTATTGGCTTTGGTTAGAAAGCACAGCGTTGTATCCTTCTGTGTACAGTTCTCGTAATCTGTCATCTTCGCAGTTAGGATTACTGGTTCGAGGCCGGGTTGAAGAAGCATATAGAGTAAAACGGTATGATACGCCTATTTTACCCTATTTCTGGTTTCGTTATAGAGATGGAGGATTTATGAAAGAGGTAAATATCTTTGCGAAATACATTACTAATTAAAAAAAAATATCTTAGAGAATGCTTATTTTTTGTGGTGAAGCTGTTTACATTATATCAGATTTATTTTTTAATTATACGCATTGAAATTAAATATTACATTTGTTTGATTAAATATAGTAGAAATATCTGTTTAATTAAAAAAAAACAGAAATTACTTACAATATAGTTGAAACAAAGCAAATTTGATTTAAATTTTATTTTAATATTTTAGGAAGACTTAGCAGTTGTTCTCCAATCATTACACAAATCAAATGCATCCGGTTTTATTATATGGGGAAGTTCAAATGACGTGAATACTGTAAGCAAGTGCCAAAAGCTACATGATTATGTAGAAAGAGTATTAGGACCAACAATTGCAAAATATATACAAAAAATCAACAGACAAGATGATGATCAAGTTGAAACACTAACGGAAAGTAACATTGACGATTTCAATGAAACATTGTCAAGTATTGATGATATAATGATTACTACAGATGCTAGTATTGTCAATGAAACGAATGACAATAACAACTTAAACGAATTTATTAGAAGAATTCAATTTGATCCTGAATTTGATTGGTTACCACCAGAAAATTACTCTCAAGATATATCTCAAAATGTCGAAGAAGAACTGTTAAGGAAGGGGTATAATAGCACCGATAATAAAGGTATTGAATTAAAGACTTTAAATGAAAGTGCTGTAGCCGATACAATTATTGATGCACTCTTAAATACTGAATATTCTAAAGAAAATAATCAACAAAATATTAGGGATATGGAAAATGGAACAACAACTACCACTAGCTTAAATACTACTACAAGTGAATATACAGAATCGTCAAAACTAAGTAATGATGAAAATCTGTATACAACAGAAGAACCTGTTAATTTCATCAATAAATTTCTAAGAACAGAAATTGTTACAAATAATATTTTAAGTAGTACCCCAAAATATAACTCGGAAACTTTAATTCACGATGTTCAAAAATATACTGATAAAATAGATAAAATTTTAGACGTAAATATCACTGCTGAAGTTGGTTTAAATTCTTCAACAGAAAGTCAATCTGTCAATACCTTTTCAGACGGTACGTATAAAAAAGAGTTCACGAATACAGACAATTACATGTCAAAAGAAAATAACTCACTTAGTCACGATTTGTTAAAAGAAATTCAAACTAATAGTGAGGAAATACATCTTAAAAATATCAATGAAAATATGCTAATTAATCTTATTTTTAATGCCTTAATGAAACACAATATTATTGATGAAAATTATAAACAATCTGTTTATACAGATCTTCAAAATTCGGACAGTACTAAAAGTATGCAGCTTATAGAAAAAACAAATGCGCAAAGAGAAGAAATATATTTTGTTACAACACCAAAATCGATAAGAGTAGCCAGAGATGATTCAATACAAAGTGATTTAGGAAAAAGTTTTGAAAACTTAGAAATAGCTAAAGATATAATTACAGATATTACAAGTACTACGGATACTCCGTCTACAGCAAAAAAAGATAAATCGTTTGATTTAATTTCTTCAGATGATACGCTATTAAACAGAGATTTTAAAAATGTAAGTACAGAACTAGACGACTTTTTGATAGTTTTAAAAAAATATTCTGAGCCTAAATCTGATACAACTACTCAAAATAATATCAAACAAATTGATTACGAAAATGATTACTTAATAATATTATCAGTTAATATGACTGATACAACAATTGCAAATGCAACAAGTGGCATAAATGATAAGGATCAAAATGTTGATGAAAGTATAATAGAAAATCTAAGTGCAATAAGCGTAAATGACAGTTTAAGTAATATTAATAGTGAAGAAAGTACAGTAAGTAGTCAGACGGAGTCAAGTACTGACATTTTTGTGACAAACAGTGAAAACAGTGAACGTTCAAAAGTAAACACAGATGTTGTAACAAATGATATTTTAAGTAATACCTCAAAGTTCAATTCGGAAACTTTAATCCACGATGTTCAAAAAGATTCTGAAAAAACAGATAACATTTTAGACGTAAAGATCACTACTGAAGTTAGTTTAAATTCTGCAACAGAAAATCAATCTACCAATACCTTTTCAGACGATCCTTATAATAAAGAGTTCACGAATACAGAAAATTACATGTCAAAAGAAAACTCACTTAGTAACGATTTGTTAAAAGATAATCAAACTAATAGCGAGAAAATACGTCTTAAAAATATCAATGAAAGTATGGTAATGAATCTTATTTTTAATGCCTTAATGAAACACAATATTATTGATGAAAACAATAAACAATCTGTTTATACGGAGCTTCAAAGTTCAGACAATACTAAAAGTACGGAACTTACAGAAAAAACAAATGCGCAAAGAAAGGAAATATATTTTGTTACAACACCAAAATCAATAAGAGAAGTAGCCCCTAATAATTTGACTCAAAGTGATTTAGAAAACTTAGAAATAGCTAAAGGTATAATTATAGATATTCGGAGTACTACGGATACTCCAATTATAGCAAAGGAAGATGAATCTTTTGGCTTAATTTCTTCTGAAGATAAGTTATCAAACAGAGATATCAAAAATGTAGGTACACAAATAGACGACTTTTTGATAGTTTTAAAAAATTATTCTGAGCCTAAGCCCGATATAACTAATCAAAATAATATCAAACAAATAGATTACGAAAATGATTACTTAATAATATTATCAGTTACTATGAATGACACAACAAGTGCAAATGCAACAAGTGGCATAAATGATGAGGATCAAAATGTTGATGAAAGTGCAATAAAAAATCGAAGTGAAATAAGTGAAAATGACAGTCTAAGTAATATTAATAGTGAGGAAAACACAATAAGTAGTCAGACGGAGTCAAGTACTGATATTTTTGTGACAAACAGTGAAAACAGTGAACATTTAAATGTAAGCACAGATGTTAATGAAGTGAGTGATTCCACAACGGAGGCTACAGTGGATCAAGTGGTAACATATATTTACTATGTTTAAAATAATATGTAACACTATTGCCTCTTCTTTTTAAATATTATAATTGATCTTATTTTACTTTGTAAAAATTGATGTACTTCTTATTTTAAAGACTTTAAATAGAAGAGACAACTAAAACGACTAAGCTGTACTTTAATCTACTAAATTGTATTGATGAAGCATGAAGCCTAAATTTTTAACTAAATTAAGATTAATGATTTTAAATAGTTACACACTTTTTAAAATCGTTAATCTTAATTTAGTTAAATTTTTGTTTTTTAATATATTTATACACACATACATACTTTAGTTTAAGCTAATTAACTATCAATCAATGCACGTAATAAATGTATAGAAGAAGTAATTAATATTTTACATACGAGTATACCTGATTATAAAATGTTGGTTTTAAAATGTGAATATTGTAAAAATCTTCATAATGTAACTTTCTAATATGAAGTTATAATAATAACACAACTTATATAAACTAAATACTTTACGTATGTGACTAAATACTGTACAAAGTTTGATTATTTTTTAACCCAGTGTTCTATTGTTTTGTATGAATAACAATAACACGACGTACATATAGTTATTTTGTAGTTTAGTTAATAACACCACTGCCTTCTGTAATGTATATGATCTACATTGGCGAAAAGAATTACGCTCAAATAGATCATCCATACCAATATCATTTCATGTCATTCATTGTATATTATACATAGCATACAACTCATTTTCATCGTTATTTTCAATATCTCATAAAATATCACATAAGTCATATTGTTATATGTAAAAATATATATTTATTAATCTGTTTATGTCGTTTGTATAATTTACGAAAACTTAATAAATTATTACGATTTGTAATTTTTTTATACAATGTGGCGATGCATTTATCACCATAAAGAAGAAAGACGGCTGGCTGGTCATACTGATATAAAAAACAAGACAAAAAATATTTTGAATAGTGCATAGCTTTTGTGCCATTGTTAACATCCCACATTTTTTTAACACGCAGCGTACAATGATTCTGGTTTACATTGATGAATACACTTTATAATCCCTCAACGACCGCGGACACGCCGGCGTTACAGTTAACAATAGATTTCTTAGAAATTTAATTATTTTCCTGGAGGTGTTAATAACAACAACTTAAATAAGTAAAAAATATCAGCAATTAGGTACCCTAAAACCTCACATTTCTAAGATATTTACTTCAAGATTTCTCGAAAACATTATAATTTAGGACATCATAGTGTTTATATTTATTATGAGTATCAATTTTAAAATATCTCGCAAAAGGTGTCAATTTAGGGCACCTTATTGCTTACAATATTTTTTTTACTGTCCTCTATCCACACATACCAGTTACTATATTTTCTATTAACTATGTCTAATAGGTTTTTTATAGTTATTAATATTTTTCGTCTAAAGTTTCCACTACAAATGAAATGAGAATAAATGGATCGTCACACGGTATATTTATTTAAATCTATATGTATTTCATTGGTGGGTTTTAACACTTTTCCTATAGATGGTGTCGCGGAGCGTCGCTTATGGGTCCAAGCTCAATTCCATGTATTTGTTTGTCTACTCAAGCTTTATATTTATCAATAATATATTTATAATTTAATGTCTAAAATTAACTGGGGATTAAAAAATATGAATCGCTTGTTTTTGCGTACGGTTTCGATTGCATAGTAAGGAAAAAAAAGATAACCTATATTTATCCCCATTATACAATCTATATACTTGCCAATTTTCATCAAAATCTGTTCAGCATCTTAAGTGTAAAAAGGTAACAAACGGATACAAAACAATAATTCTAAAATAGAAACACATTGATCTGATTTTAACCTTATTTGTTTTAAAGCAAATATTTATTAGTGAGTTAGTAATTTTCTTGGAAGTACCTACGTTGCATAAATTTGATGACTTCAATAAAAAAAACCTCTGGTATTCTCTTGTAGTTTTATCTTATTCGAGCTTCGTACATTTTAAAACTACACGAAGCTTCTAACTAACCCAAAAAGCGTAATTTAAGTAAAATGTGTATTATTTCAATATCAATGGTGTATTATCTGACATTTTATAATATTTTCTTAAATTATTTTAAATATTTTACGATTTCTCTGCTTAAATTATGATTTTATTCGGTTTATTTAAAATTAAAATAAAAAAAAAATATGTTTGAAAAATAATATAATACTTAATACCTATGTTTCTTATTGAAAATTCTACTGTAATATTGACTTAAAATGGTATCATTATTTTCTTATAAGAATGTTTAAAAAATATTTTTGTATAACAATGTTATTAAATTACTTAGACTTCAGAATAATACAGTCAGACTGTCATAGAACTAAACATGAAGCCACACAATAATATTTTAAAATTCAATAGGAAGACTACTAATGCTAAAAATTACAAAAGAATATATTATTTTTATCATTAATATTATTATTTATATTTTATTCTCAAAAACTGTAAATTCACGTCTAATACCTATATAAAATTCCCCTTATTGTTTAAAGCAAAACCATCTGTATGTCAAAATCGAGAAAAATAGCATAAACAGCAAATCAAGCTACTATTTCTGACTTAGACATTTTTTGGCGGGCTCCGTCTATATAATTCTTTAGTCTGAGGTAAATTATTAATAAGTTTAGTTATTTAAGCATAATAATTCCATCACTTGTTGTTTTATCTGTGATATCTGATAATGTAATTTTACTGACAATTAGATACTAGGGTAATAATATAATGAATACATATAATATGTACCTCATTTGAATGGTTCAGAAATCTTATGTTTATCAATGTAACTTCGATATTTAAAAGAGCAGAGCAGAACTCTTCCCAGCAGAACTGCTACCCGAGCCGGCGCGGCGGTAGCTTCCTCACGGACTGACTATACTGACGCTCTTTTAATTAAATTGACGATTCAAAAGTGCTTTTAAGTCTATTTGAAGTTTTATTTCATTACGGTGATAGCAGGTTTGATTACCATACAGGGACAAAGTTAATAGCATGTTTTATGATTGTTTGATCTACTAGCAATAATTTGACACACAGAATATATTTGTCACAGGCATATTGTAAAAGGCGTGAAATTATTATAATTTTACAGAGTTTTGTCAATCATCTCCTTTTCCGATGTCACGGGATTTCTTACAATTTCACGGGACAATGTTAGGTATATGATAATTTCACTAAGCACTTTCAGTGACATTGCTATTACCCTAGTTAAATTATCAAAAGTACTAATACTTGGATGTAGTGGGAAGCCGAGAAAACGCAGGGCAATTATGATTTAACGGTTTTTATAATTTACGTCAGTACGTTATCAGGTACGTTCACTTACTGTGGATTTCAATAACCTATCCAACTCTGGTCTTGCTTATCAGCGATAGGAGTTTGACATTAGTTATCTGGAACTTATGTCATTTTTTTTTAATAAAAAGAACTTCAATCAGATGGGTTATTATAAACCGTCGTGCCGTTTGTATTTGCACTTCGTATTTAGTTGACTTACATTTCCACTGGTTTTCCCTGCAATCTCTTTCTAACGCTAGCGTAACGAATATTTTTATTTCTATGCCGTATTACTTCATGTCAATATTGTGTATGTATGTATGTATGTATTCAGCCCTTTTAAACGTCCCACTGCTGGGCACGGGCCTCCCTTCAGTACGAGGGGGATCCGGCCATAGTCCACCTCGCTGGCCAAGTGCGGGTTGGCGGACTTCACATGTCTTTTGAAAACTTGCTAGGTTCTCTCAGACATGCAGGTTTCCTCACGATGTTTTCCTTCACCGTTAAGACAAGTGGTAATCATGTTGGAAATGATTTGCACATGAAAATATCAGAGGTGCGAGACCCGGGATTTGAACTCGCTTCACTCGGTTTCCCAAGCGAGCGCGTTACCACTGGGCTACCACTGCCAATGATTATATATATTGACTGCCAATGATTATATATATTGCCAATGATTATACAATATTGCTCAAAGATATTGACATGAAGATGAAGACATGAACTTGAAGAGAAGGGAGAGGGCCTCAGAGATACTAAATCAATTAATAATAATAAATAAATATGCTGGGACATTAACACACAGCACCATCTAGTTCCATGGTAAGCTACGCGGCTTGTGTTATGGATACCAGATAGTTGATACACTACACATATATCATTTTCTGGAGTACAAACATTCGTACTCATCACACAAATGAATGTACCCAGCGCGACGCGAACCCGCGACCGATTTTTCGCACATACGTGTCGTCAATTGTTTGGTAGGTCAAACAATAGAGGGACAGGTTATTAATATTGGCCGTAACACGTGGTGTTGGATGCTATCATTCAGACTTTAATATAATTATCGGTATTTTACTGATGAAAAAAATCAAGATGGCAAAGTAGACTGAAATAAAATATTACTACGATCTCTACCCTACGATAGAAAAAGTTCTATATTTTCTTACTTTATCAATAAAAAAATATGTTATTACTCACAATAGCATATACAATTTATTATTACTGTCAATAACATACACGATTTTATATTCCTTATATTGTATATATTGACTATGGTCCGGAAGCAAAATTTGTAAATATTGTCGTTTTACATGTAAGAGTAGTATTTTTTTAAGTGAAGTTATCTTAATACATTTTAAGTGTAAATAGAACTCTAGTGCTAAAGAAAAATAATGCAAAAATAAAATTTTATGCTACTTTATATTGTGTTTTGTATTCCCTGTAATTCTTTTATAATATCGATTACACATATTTGTACAAATAATACTTTCTTAGATTTACACTAATATTTATATTTGACATTTTAAATAAAAATGTTACTAATTTTAGTAGAGACACCTGTAGGAGTGTACCTACTTATCTCAATTATTTAAAATAATTGACTTTAAGCTGTACATAATGTATTTAACCCTTTTTTAGCCGACTTTCAAAAACGAGGAGGTTCTCAATTCGTCGGAATCTTTTTTTTATGTAGG